CCGTTGGCCGCAGACACCACAACAATGCAAAGCAAAAATTTTCGACGCCATACATGGACACGGTCTTTTGGTATCTATGTATGCGTGCTGGGGCACTATGCCGGAAACGTGACTTATTTGAAATTTATGTACTTTTTAGCCAAGAGCCTGGCAAAAAAAAAGAAAGCAGAGCAAAGCTATACCCCAGTCAGGAGCCGAAAAGGAAAATAGCAAACAGTGGGTTCAAAAAATAAAAATAGAAAAAAAGGACGGCAAACAGCGCAATTTATAGAGCAAATTTCACCCTTATCTGTTGTTTGTTTGTTATTTTTCTCCTTTTGGGGATTTTTAATTATTTTTTGTTTCAATTTTCCTCTGTATGAGTGTTAGTTGGGGGGTTTAATTAGAAAAGCATACAAGAATGGCGGGGCCAGCGGGGTGAATGGTGTGTGCAGCAATATGCAAATGCATTCGCCGAGCAACAACAATTCACAAATTGAAATCAACGAGCATACAACTTGATAGGTTTTTGTTTGTTCCATTTTTCGTCCTTGCTGCTGCTGCTCCTGCCTGTGCTCTCCTTTCTGGCTCGTTCGTTTCGTTTTTCAGCTCGTGTCACACACGCTATTCACTTGTTGTTGCTGCTGCTGTTCGACATGCATCGATTACATACACGGGGAAAGCAGCGGGAAAGCAGTAGGGAGGGGTGCCAGGAGGGGTGCCAGGGTGCCGAAGGATGTGCGGCTGACAGGAGATGGGGTCGGACGAGCAGCGACATAAGTCACGAAGCTTTTGCTAATGATGAGGGCCTTGATGCTTTTTCAATTAACCAAATGTGTGACATACGGCACAGATTGCAGGCTGGGGAAAAAGAGAGAAAGGGAAATGGGAAATGGGAGAGGGGAAATGGGAACGGGGAGGGGGAAAACTACTCGCTCGGGGCTGTAGGTGGTTGGCAGGACTCGCCTGTATGTGACAGCAGCGACAAACATTTTGGCCTGGCACAAATCAAAGTGAAAGCAACCAAAGAATAACTCGAGCATTAAGTAAGCCATGTTTTAGTTTTCTCATTAGGTTTTTCTGCCTGCTTCTGCCACTCGAATTTTGTCTTTCAATTATTATGGCCCAGCAGCAACCGGAAATGTCGGATCGTTTGATCAAGATCTTTGTGGAGAATGGTCTAGACGAAATTCGTCGTATTGAGGATCAGGCTATAAGTGAGTTAAGGCTGCGATCACCAGGAGAGAAGATGAGGGCTTCCAAGCAGGGCAAAGATACTAAACCAACCGGAAACGGAAATGGAAATGTGGGCAAACATGAGTATGGCATAAGCAACTAATAAATCATCTTGCTACCAAGCACTTGCTTATTAATATAATCCGTTGAACTAGTGACGCACCCATTTAACCTTAATTTGCATTTATGTACCGAAGAAATGGGGGTTGAATGGAGGGGCAGAACTCTGTGGCCAGTTGTGATTACCTGGCAAGCTCTTTTGTCTCATTCCGCAACAAGGCAATAAAAGCAATTCGCAAAAAATATATCTATGTGGGTGTGTTCCACAGATACACACACATACCAGTAGACTAATACAGCTATAGCCACACCACACCCACACACACACACACATTTATATGGAGAGCCTAAGAGAGGGCGAGGGAGGGCTACTTATAAACTCACCTTAATTAAACGTGATTAAGTAGATTTCCTCGTTTTTCTGCTCAACGAACTGTTTAGTTGTCGATGCCCCCCTCCCCCATGCAGGTGTGTGTATGAGTGTGTGTGTGTGACCTGTGCTTATTAGCTGCCACTTATTGTTGTTCTTGTAAGTTGAAAAGGGTATTATAACTTGCCCATTGCTGTTGTTGCAAGGAATTAGCCATAGAAGATACCAGCCTCACTTGTATTTTATTACTTTGGCAGAATTAAGTTAAGATGTTATAAATAATAATAATAATTAGGAAATATAATACATATTTAGATACTTGAAGGCATTGTTCTTTTAAGTAAGTAAAATAAATTGTACTACAGAAAGTAACAAGAGCTCTACGTATCAGTTTCATTTTCTACTCCCCTTTAAGCCCTTAAGAGGTTTAAAAACAAACAAAAAACGATATAAGTTGGCTTAAAAAATAGAAAGTTTTTAAGAGAAACTTTGAAATATGACAGCATAACTCAAAGAGCACAAAACTGTTTGCTTTTTATATAAAACTAAATTTATATAAAGCTTAAAAGAATGTATATTGCTTGATGTATCAACGACCAACCAGATAAATACTATTTATTAAATTCATTTACATATCTTCAAACCTAATCTATGATATTTCCTTTTATTCCCCCAAAAAAGTACTGGAATCGTTTTAAAACCATTTGTACAACAAGTGCCAATTCCGGATTTAAATTGCCTTTCCCTGACCAAAGTATCCTTGTGCAGCAAGAGATTAAATTAAAGCAGATTCCTTTCTCATGTCTAAGTTGGCCCCAAGAAATACTTGAAATTAGTTCCTCCGGCAGCAAACAAAATTCGCCACTATGCATCCCAGGAGGGTATTCAAGTTTTCGGCCCAACCCAAATTAGCATTCAATTTTCATGTTTTTCCCTCTTATTGTCGGATGCTGGCTGGGTTGGGGGCAGGGCTTGGGGCAGGGCTTGGCTCGGGCTTGCCTTGCCTTGCCTCACGTTGTTGTAATTTAGTTTCATTTGTGCACGAAAATGAATTTGTATTATTGTTTGCATTAATTTGCCTTATTAATTACGTTTATGCTTCTGACTATTATGTTTTTTTCTTTTGCTCTCGCTTCGGTTCTGCTTTCGGGTTTTTCCCCAAGCTTTCCCCTCCCCCCGTCCACCGCCCACAGTTTTCCCGGTCTCCCAGGGGGTAATTCGAGCATTGGCTGTGCGGGCAATCAAATAAATAATGAGACGGCGACTGTGGCTGCCGCAAGTCTGAGTTCGTAGTACGCAGTTTTCCGTGCGGAGTTCCCTGGTCCCTGCTCCCAGCTCCCAGCTCCCAGCTTCCAGCTCCCAGTCCGGAGCCACCGCCATCCGGAGCTCACTCTGCCGGCGTGGCTGTCGTCAACTTTGTTTAATATGCGCAAAACGTCGCAGAACTTTTGCAGCTACTTGTCGTCAACATCGTTGCCAGCGTCTCCTCCAATCTGCCCCTTGGTGTTGTTGCTCTTGTTGCGATTGTCTATGGCAACTTGCCTTTATTATTTGTTGCTGCTCGTCTGTATTTCTATAATTGCCTTTTTGCCTTTGTCTGGCCCAACGTCAAGTATCTGTATCTGTAGCTGTAGCTGCGGCTGTGTATCTGTATCTGTATCTGTATCTGCCTGCCAGAGCATTTCAGCATTTTCGGTTGTCCTGTTTATGAAATTCTATGAATCGGAGAATCAAGTTCGCTGACAGATTTCAATTTTCCACGGCCTCGGTGCCTCGGTGGGACGGGGAAAATGCAATTTTCAATTTCCCCATCGGCTGCTGTGGCACGTGCAGTCCAATTTTGGGTCTGGGTCTGGGTCTGGGTCTTAATTTAATTGATTGCCAATAGTTGTGGCTTTGAGTGTTGCACATTCAGACATTGCTCATACGCCCCGTGCGCGCCGTAAATAGAAGGGAAAAGTTCATAGCGGCAGAGCATTTCCTGGAACTTCATTTGCCCTTAGCTGCAGCTGCTGACTTTTGAACTTTCCCCATGGCACTCAAACACACTGGCACACACACACTCGCTCACACACTCGCTTTTGAATGACAGGAAAGAAACAACTTAAATGTCAACCCGATGAAGCCGAACCACTCCGCCGTAAAACTCGCATTTCACGGCACGGGCACAAAAGCCCGTCAACCTCAAGCAGCGCACTAGGCCACGCTGATTTATATACACAAACACACACACAGGCACAACAAAACGGCTCCGAATAACAAACAACACAACACAACACAACTAACAAAAAACAACGACAACAGGAGCAAAAGAACACAAGGAGGAATCTACTTCCGTGTTGATTGTTTCGTTTTGCCAGGCTTTGCTCCTGCAAAAAAGAAAAAAAAATAAAAGAAAAAGGAAACTTGCAAGCTGGGTAACTGAAACTGCAAAGACGACAGGACGACGCCCATAAAAAGCGACTGTGTCTGCGGGAGTTGCTTTAAAGACAAGTGAAAGGAGCAGGCAGGAAAACCTGTCCATCAGCAAAACTATTGCAACAATAAACAAGGACAATTTGACAATTGAAGTGTCGAGTAAGTTGAGCCCCAAATACAAGGGGGGGAAAAAAGTATAACGAAGACTCCTGCCTGGCAAAGTAGCCTCGTAGAGCACTTGAGCACAGTTTCCGGTCATTTACACGTACACACACACACACACACTGGCACACCCGTCGTCAATCTGGCCGCCTTTGCTTGTGTGTGTGTGTGTGTGACACAGTATCCTACATTTTTATTGGCATCTCTTTTTGGGGTCTGAATATGCAAGGATGTGTGCGAGAGTTTATCAAAACGCGTTGCAATGTCGGTGGTAATTGCCGAGGAATCCCCAATCCCCAATCTTTGCCCCAAAATCTCGGCCAAAATCAAAACCGGGGCAAGGTCAGGATTGCGTGGAAATTCAATTTCCAATTTCTACGCTCCGCTCGCGCACATTGTCTCAATTTAAAAGGCATTATTACTTGCCCTCTCTGTATACCCGGGGCAACGAGAAATCACCAAAGACAATTGGCCCAAGAACTTTCATAACTTTTTGTGTATGTTTTTTCCCACTGCCATTATTTGTGGGGTTAGAAGGATGGCTCTTTGGATGGATGGATGGATGGGATGCTTGGATGCTGCTGCTAGGATGGATGGCAAACAGCTCTGCACAGACTCCACGTGCAGCAGCCCCAAATGCTGGCTCTCCCTGTTCTCTCTCGGAAAACTCTCGGAAAATCTGTGCGCAGATGCTGACGCTGCTTGGCTGCAGGATCAGGGTGTGGTGAGTTATGCTGCCGCTGTGGATAGTGAAGGGAAAATGTCTTGGCCCTACCTTCTGCCGGCGTCGCTGCTGCTGCCACTGTTGGCTTCGTTTACGTTTGAATTTTTCTGCTTGGCAGCGCGCTTTTCCACTGAACTTTTCCTGCTGCTGCTGCTGATGGTGCTGCTGCTGCTGCTGCTGCTTCTGCTGCTGCTGATATGTGACACGCACTCACACTGGCTCACTTGGGGTACAAAAACACACTCGCTCGCACACACACACGCGCGCTGTCGCCTCGCTCTCTCGCACACACGCACACACACACTAGGCCACGACACGGACACACACACGGACACGGACACGGGCACGGACACAGCGGCGCTCCTTTGCTGTTGTTGCTGTTTCTTCGTCTTGCTCTATTTGGCCAGTCGCAATTTTATTCACATTTTTATCATTTAGCATTTATCATTCATCATTTATCTAGTTGCCGCTGTCATTGCTGTTTCCGTTTCCGCTCGCTCGCTCTCTGTCTCTCTTGCACTCTATTGTCCTGCTTGCACTGTCCTGCTCTCACGAGGCGCTCTGTGTGTGTCAGTTGCTGTTGTTGTTGTTGTTGTTGTCGTTGTTACTTTGTGTTTTTCTATTTTCTGTTATTTTTTTTTGTTATTTTTTTTGAAAAAATAAACTAGTGCACGTTTCCGCTTTTGTCAACCGAACACGTCAACTGTCTGCACCTGACTGACGGACTTTGGTTCGCAGTTCACAGCTCGCAGCTCGCAGCTCCCAAGTGCTCTCAGCTCTCAATTCACAGTTTTTCCCCAAATAATCATCATCATCATCATCAGAGAGAGGGCAGAGCGCCGACTCTCTAATCCCGTGTGGATGCTGTTCATCTCACGCTCTCTCTCTCTGATGATTTCTCTTGCTTTTCCGATTTCCCTCAGCCATTGTTTTGATTCATTTTTGTGGTAGGTTCTTGCCGAGATTCTTAAAGAGCGGATGGATGGTAAGAGCAGAAGCCAACAGCGGCAGTGGCAGCATCCCAACTAAAAATAATACTTGTAGCTTAACCTTTTCCTGTGCCACCCAGCACAGTTCAAAGCCCAAACTCCGTGACCCACACCCATTTGGCATCCATTGGCATTCGAAATCCAACTCGCAGAAAGTATTCGAAGCGCACAAATTTACGCTGCCGGGGCAAACAAAATACCAGCCCCAAAAATAAATATCATAAAAATATGAAAAATAAATAAGTGAGCTGAGGGGAGGAGAGGAGGCACCCAGCGGAATAAATATAAATATTTGGCCAGCTACAGTTACGCCCCGGCTTAACAAAAGGGCTGCTGCCCAATCGGGTTTACAAAGGTTGGGCAAAGGAGGGGATTGTGGGTTTGTTGATTTTTTTAAGCGTTCTTTTGCTGCTCTTTATGCAAACTGTCGCCCCACCCAACCACCCAACCACCCAACCACCCAACCACCCATCGGCACCCCTAGCCCCATCCTTTGGCTGGCCCTTGTGTTGTTGCTTTTGCTGCTGCTGCTGCTGCTGCTGCTGTTTGCGGGTCGGGCGTCTCATGAATATGTAAATTGTTATTATTGCATATTGTTAGGCGCCAGCAGCCGACGCGCCTCCCCGCGGAACAGGATAACAGCGCCAAGGCAAGAAGCAAGGACTCCTGGCTAAACGCAGACCAGGTGAGCGGTCCGACCAGTTCCGCCGGAAGTAGTAATTCCCATAGATTTGACAAATGTCGCGCATTGCGTCTTAAATAATGAATACCAAATGTCTAACTGGTACTTTCGATTTACATTCGCTGCACAGCAAAAAAAGGACAATTTCTTAAAAGGAACTGATAAAGTTTCATTATTTAAAGTGCTAAGTTTAAGTAAAATCAAATTCCTATCCCTAGTTTAAAGTTTTTTGTGTATACATTCATGAAATTATTAAGGAAATTTGTCTTTTGCCGTAATAAACCGTCCTTGATGCTCTTAATTTGATAAATCCTTTTATTGCTAAAAGAGGCAACAAAGAAATACGGATATTGTCTGAAGTCAAACTATAAATACAATGGTTAAATTTATACCAAACTCTGGGAATCGTCCTAAAATTGTATTAACCTACGATTTTTAAAGACTCATTTCTTATTTTTCCACGAATGGTAATTAGTATAATGTTTCCAGTTAATAATTTTATACAACTTGCAAAACATAGTATCAACTAAACTGAGAGATACGTTTTAACCACGTAGAAACAAGCAGATTAATAAATAAAACATGGGTTTAAAAAGCAACTAAGAGTTACAAACTTGTAAACGCAATTATTTATGTAAGCCCAGGCTATTATAAAAAGAATTTAAGTTATATGGAAAGTAAATTTTTATTTAAATACTTCAAAATATTTTCCCTAAACCTTTGTTTATTTATAAACATGAAAGGAAAGTGGTTGTTGGAAGGCGAAGTTTGTATATCCTCACAGTTTTCAATTGGTTTGTGGCATCTAAACAGAAATAGTTCATAACTAAGCCAAAAATATTTTAATTTTATATTAGAAAACATATCTGTGATACATTTATAAACTCCTAACAATTATTCCCCCTTTTAAATATTTTGCAATACAGTCGAATCCAGATAATTCGTACCCCGCTAAATCGAAAATCGCTATAATTCGTAAAAAATTCTGTCCCCTTGAAAAAAACTCGTTAATTCGTAAAAAATCCATACATTTTGGTCCCCTCGTTAATTCGTATTATTTGGCGCAACGCAATGAATATTGAACCTATTATTAATCGTAATTTTGTTTCGCAACCTCTTATAAATCGTAATGCGACAGCTATGCCGCCTTTATGTCGCTATGCATTAGCATTTCAAAACAATTCGATATCGCTCCATCAACAATATCATCAATTCTACAAAAAAAGAGTTTATAATGCAAGCTAATTTTGGAAGAAGTTTTGCCCAACAATTCTGAAAGTGACGAGGATGATGACGCCGATGGAGAAGAAATTTTAACAAATTTACAAGCCAGAGCATTAATTTCTCAACTTAAAAATTATTTTTCGACCCATGATGTGCCAAAAAGTATCTTTGACAACCTAATAGGTTTAGAAAACGCAATGGAAAAAATAAAAGAAAAAAAACATCAAGCAATCAAAAATTTCCAATTATTTTAAAGCTTGAATTTTTGTTTTTTATAATTTAATGTTTATGCTTAATAGTTTAAATTTTAGTTCTATAATTTTATGTTATGGTTTTATTTTCCTTTAATTTGAAAAACGTGCAAATGAATGTACATGCTTATAATGTTTGTTTAATTTTAATTTAATTTAATTTTAATTAAAAACCCCGTTTTCGACTCTTTCATTTTTGAGCCCCGTTAAATAGAAATCTCGATAAATCGAATTCCCGTCTAATTCGTAAAAAAAAGTGATCCCCTTGCCATTACGAATTATCGGGACTCGACTGTATAACATTTAACAAAAAATGTTTATATTTTTATTCTACAGGATATGGCCAGAGCGAATGGACAGGTAATGCTGATCAAGGATATATATAGGGTCGGAAATGACTTCAATTGCAAACTTCTGACTAAAATTAACATACCTTTTAAGGGTATATTAATTAAAACCGCTACGACAAAACTGCACCATGAATCGCCATTAAAAAATTCAACTTTTTGCAACATTTTTCTGGCATAAAATATGTATGCATGTTTGTTGTTAGTAAACGGCTGTTTAAAAAAGAAAAACAAGTATAAAATGAACCAAAAAATAATTTTGCAAATAGAAAATGTTCAAGCTCAGGTAACTAAAATTCCTTTTTATACTATTCATTCCTACATTTTCTAATAATAGAATGTTAAAAACCTATAGAGAAAAAAGAAGCCAAAACTGAAACCGATTTCGATTGAAAAAGGTCTGATGTGATTACAGGAAGCGGTTAAAAGTTTACAAAATACGAATAAAATATGCGAAAACCGCCAGAGAATTAAATGCCTGGCGGATCTGGCAGCTTAAAGCCATGGCCAATCATTGTCAATGGCGACGGAGACACCTAGGCAACAAAGTAATGGCTGTCAAACGAACACAGCCACCTACACGCAGACACACACTATTATAAATATATATATTTATATATTAAGAATATATATATATAGACACAGTCACAATCACACGGCAACGGAAGGGACACACAGACAGGACACACGCATGTACTTGAGGAGTCCTGACAACCTGAACAAGCCGAAGAACAAGACATTTTGCGCTGCGACTTTGATTGGCAGCCTTCTCGGTAAAAGAGGGGGGGGGGGGCAGGATCTGGATCTGGGGCGGCGGATGGGACAGGAGGCGATGTATCCTTGCGCTGTCGTCATCGCCATCAGCATTGCCATCATCATCGTCATCGTCATCTATAATAACATCAAACAGCGCACTGCCCAGACACCAGAGGCCCACCAGATTTCGGTTCCCCCACGCCCCCCCTCCGGCAAGCCCCGTAAGTTCTTGCTGTGTATATCGCTGTGCCACCCCCCTTTTTGCCACGCCCCTGCCCCCGATTCCCGTCCATCAGCACCTTAGGACAATTCCGGCCACCAGCCTCCCCGCTTGTTATCACGCGCAATAAAAAGCTTGCCAGCATTTTCCGTTTTTCCGTTTTTTTTTTTTTTCTGCTCTCCACATCTCCAATACCCTGCGAAAAGGGTATGTTTCGTTTGCTGTGGCTCTCAGGGGAAAACATGGAAACAGAGACTTACAGATTCCGAAAAGTGCTTTAAACACAATTCTTGGAATGGGTTTAAAATTTCTGTTTGAGGTAAAGGAAAGTACACATTTACAATTTGAGCATATTTTAGGCCCTCAGGAAAATATATTAGTTTGCTTTTGAAGATTTTTGTTAGTTCCTATGATTGTTATTAAAAAAATCTATAGCACAAAAGTTATAAACTGCAAATACAATGAAATTTCACACTAGGAAACTTTAAAAAATGTGGGATTCTAGCAAAGATTTACCTTCAATTTTAAAATAATCATACAAAAAATGTATATAAAATCCATATAATAAAATATAACCAAGCTATTACTTAAAATTCTTTTAAATATGTTTTATAGTAAACCAATTTTCTTTAAATTTATATTTTCTTTCTTCTTATTATGAGTTGATAGAGAGACATAGATGGAGATCAATTTGGTGTATAAACCAGTTAGAAACTATAAAGAACAAATTAAAAATATAATTTTCTAATAAATTCTACAAAATTAAGAATTTTCTATAAATTCCACTAAATTCTTTCCAATTTTTTATCTTTTGCCTTAATAGGCACTATTTTCTGGTTTTGTGTTTATCTATTTCAAAATTTCATTCCCGGCTTTTTCCAATACCGAAACATTAACTTAATATAGAATCAACTTGTAGATTATATTTGTATATAAGTATTTATCCCTATATCCTTTATTATCCACCCAGAGCATATCATCTTCGTCATCGCCTGACGAATATTTAACATTTTTAACTCATGCTTACTTGATTTTTCCTTCCTTACGATTTTCAAACATTTACTTTCGCTTTTTGCGAAAGGAAAACATAGACAAAACGGCGGTGAGGCACGTATTCAAATTGTGGGTCCTGGGTGTGGTGTGGATGCTGGGATGGTGGCTTAGTGGGTGGCAATTGGATTCCTTCCCCTCCCCCTTCAAATCGCCTTAGAATTTACCACCCCCGCACCATTAACTGCCGCCTAGGAAACAACAACTACACAGAAAATATACATACGCCCCGTGGTACGCAGGCGAAAATTGTTCTTGTTCTCGTTGTTGTTGTTGTTGTTCTCGTTGATGTTGTTGTTGTTGTTTTTGTCGATGTTGTTGTTGTTCTCGTTGTTGTTGTTGTTGGTGGGTGTGGCAACGACGACCAAAGCAGCGGCAGCGGCGTCGCCTGAATGCGCGTTTAGTTTCAAGTGTTATTTTTGTACTAGAAGCAGGAGCAGGAGCAGGAGCAGCAGAAGAGGAGGGGTGGGGGGATTGTTGTGGGGTCGAAGGACTTGCCGCCATCTCTCCCCCTTCATCTTCGTTGCCAAGTTCCCTTCGATGCCTTGTTCGTCTTCGGCTTTGCCTTCATCTTCTTTCACGTCTTCGTCTTCGTTTTGCGTCTCGTCCTTCGTCCTTCGTCTTTACCTCGTCCTCGTCCTCGTCTTCGTCCTCGTCGTCTATTTTGGCTGAAGTGCGTAATTGATGTGAAAAGTGGCAACAAACTGTTTTTTATTTGCGCTTGCTTTCAATTTGTTTAAATTGCTGGGCGCTGTCTTTCCACTTGCCACACTCGCACACACTCACATCCACAGTGCCACACTCACCGAACAGCACACCCTCCACAAGCACACACACACACATACGAACACATTTTTAAACGCTGATTGAAGTTTTATTGAATTTTAAATTGCACTGGCCTTGGTTTGAGTTCGGTTTTCTTTTCCCTCAACTGCTTATTTTCACTTTCCACTTTGTACTTGTGCTTGTTTGCTTCCAGCTCCCTCTATGTACACAGCGAGAAATATTAGTGGGGAGTTGTATGAAGAAAGAATTACTAATTACCTGAACATCCCCTATATTATTCCCCACTCTAATTTTAATTAATCCTCAAGACTTTGTTTTTTTTACTAAATCTATTCGAATTCAAGAAGGCATAAAGTATTTGTAAGTTTATAGTTATTTAAAAAAAAAAATTAGTTAATAATAGCAAAAATAATGCTGCTATTAAATTTTCGATTAAGAAACTATACTTTTTTAAAACTTGTTAAATAAAATTGTAAAGAAATAAGAAATCCGGCAAATAAAGGATTATCTAGTCTTATTATATTAGTGAAACGTTAATTTGAAATATTAATTAAATAATCATTTAAAATATAAGACACATTTTAATAATTGATTTAAAACTAGTATATAAATTTTCTTGAAAGTATTCGATAAATAGTTTATTTTGTATCTGTACGTCAGAATAATGTGTGAAAAAGACCATTAAGGAGACATTATGGGAACATATGGGATATGTATATGGGATAAGATATATATACAGTATAGCAGGATATATAGACAAATATTACAGATGTGCATTAAACCCTAACCTAATCTGTTAAAGATTCTTTTAAATATAAAAAGAGAAGGTCTTGAATATTTAAACTTAGTTAAAAGGTCATAAAAATGCTTCATGTAAAAATAGTTGTAACTAGCGTGTTAATCTTAACTAAAAATACTGTAGCTCTAGGATGAAATGAAATTAATAAGAATATAATTATTTTGCTTTCCATACCCCCTTTTTTATTTCAGTGCACCGTGATCTGCTTTCTCTCCCTCACGCACCTCTCGTTCACCTTCTAGCATCTCGCTCATGGCTGCTTGAGTGTTTTATTGTTGACACAAATAATGTCACTCAAAATGTCAAAAAGAGGCCGCTGGAATTCTTGTTTTTTGCTTTTTTTCTCCACGTTCTGTACTCGTTTTTCCATTTTTCCATCCAAGTTGCCAAGTGCTGAGGTTTGACATACATTAAAGTGAGTTGTCAGGTGCGTGTGTTTTTATAGGTAACAAGCATATAAACGGTAAATAAATGCCAACTCCCAATTGGCGTCAACGTCAAACGCTTGAAGCCACCGCCGCACACTTTCCGCAACAATTTTCCCGGCTGGCAACAATTTAGGAGAAACTTCCCTCCTTTCTCCCCCTTCCCCCTTCTCCCAACTAATTGTAATCAGCTGCCGCCGAGGCAAGTTGCCCTCCTCCGCTGGGAGTTGGCAGCGTCAATTACTTAGCTTTCATTGAGCGGAGCATCTGCCGCAAGTCAAATAAAACATATTACAAATGACTTGGGGCACCCCCCTTGCCACCCATCCACCCACTCAATGTCGCCCGATTCGCCAGGCATTACTCCGACTTAAGAGCGCTCTCGTCCGACGCTGTGGCAGCAATCTGACAAATTTCGCACAAATTATGCGTTGGCCACAAAAATGATGACGGAAACGATGCTGGGGGAGGGAAACCCAACCCAAACTGGGATCTGGACTCCTCTTCGTCCTTCGTCCTTGCGACGCTTCAGATTCCAACTCGGAATCTCGGACTTCGAGTCTGGAACCGGCAACAAAAGGCGACGAAATTATTATTGCATTAAGTAGAATTATTAAATTTCATCGGCGACGCCCGACGATGGCGGCTCAGCGAAAATAAAAATAAATAAATCTAATCAAAAATAAGCACACAAATAAAATGGCAAATGATAAAAAAAACAAGAAAGGAAGCTAACTTCGGCACGCCGAAGTTTATATACCCTTGCAGATAGAACTTCTATGACTTGGAATCCCAACAATATAAATTATATTTATTTGTGTTACAAAACAATGAAGTAATACCTGCTTTCATTTCATTCACCTTTACATATTATATTTGCAGTTTTACAGTCACAGATGTGCATTTTTCTCCACATCTAACGATCGTTTGTATGGCACCTATATAATATAGTAGTCCGATTTTCATAAAATTTTACACAAAATTTAAGACTGATATAAAATGGTTATACCTCAAATTTGAAGAAAATCTGTTGAAAACTGAAAATGTTATAATTTTTAATTGTCTTAATTTCTCGATTGTTCCTATGGGAGCTATATGATATAGTTGTCCGATTTTCATTAAATTTTATTCAAAATTGTAGAGTATAGTAAAATGGCTATATCTTAAATTTTATCAAATTCTGTTGAAAACTGAAATTGTTATAATTTTTTTTGTAAAAATTATCCGATCATTCCTATGGCAGCTATATGATATAGTCGTCCGATCCGGCCCGTTTCGACATATATACGAGTGAGAGTATATAGAAGGCTAACTACAAAGTTTCATTCAGATAGCTTCAAAACTGAGAGACTAGTTTGCGTAGAAACGGACAGACGGACAGACGGACAGACGGACAGAAGGACAGACGGACAGACGGACAGACGGACAGACGGACATGGCTAGATCGACTCGGCTGTTGATCCTGATCAAGAATATATATACTTTATATGGTCGGAGGTGCCTCCTTCACTGCGTTGCAAACTTCTGACTGAAATTATAATACCCTGCAAGGGTATAAAAATATATATATATAGGAGGGCGGTAAAGGAAGTGGACACAAGCCAAATAAATCAATAAAAGCAGACAATAACACGAATTTCGGTCCCATTGCCCATGCACGGAAAGAAAAATTATACAACTTTCTGTGTTATATAAAATGAAGTCAAAAGCGAAGGCTAAGAAAAATTATTTCCTTTTTTTAGTTTTAAAAATTTACCATTTGAAATATGAAAAATGTATGTAAAAAACCGTTTAATGAAAGCTAAAAATTCACACATAATTTCTGATCTTTGGACAGAAATCTACTTTAAGAGTATGTTTATGTTTATAATTATAATATTATATTATATAAATTCAAAAAGGGATATATTAAATAAAACATAAAATTCTTAAAATGACGTAAAAAGCAACGATATAATCCGATTAAACTTTGTTTTTCTGTAAAAAATATAAAAATGAATAACAAACATTTAAAGAGAGCTTAAAATTGAAGTCTGATCTTGAGAAGGAATTTTAGTAGATTAAATCTAGTTTAAGAATTATACAATTTTTTATATTAGTTTATTATCAAAACTATTCAAAAAGTGGAAAATAAAATATAATATATATAACTAACAAGCAGGCTGTGTTTTAATCTGTCGTATTGAATGTCAAATAAAAAATATAAATTGTAGCTCATTATTTCGATTCCAGTCGAACCAAGCAGATCGCCCTAAAAAAATAATTGGAATATTTGCTTCATTTAATTCTTCAACGATGAAAAGGTTAGTTAAATAACATAATTTCATAGGTAAGAGGATAATGTATCCCTAGATCTATTGACATGAAGAAAGACTACCGAGCGTCCGAGTTATCGAGCGATGAGGACTCTGAGCTGCAAGCTGATAAAAAACCGCGTTTGGTCGTCGACCAGAATATTCTAAAAACGATGGATGTGATGATGCACGGCTTAAGCTATCTGGGTGGCAGCTCCATCGAATTGAAGCTGGAGAATCTCTCCTGTTTCTTGAGCAGTGTCATGGAGAGCCACAAGGTAGATATCCTTCGCATCCTGGAGACCTGCGTGCTCGAGCATCCGGGCCATGTGAGTGCCTACGCCACCTTTGTGGGTCTCGCAAATGTAAGGAGCTATCGCTTTGGGGCCGACTGCATTCAGTTTATGGTAATGAAACTGCGGCACTATGTAATCGAGGGTGAGTGGTTGAAGGTCCGTGTCCTTCTGCGCTTTCTGGCGGATCTACTCAATTGCAATGTGATCACTGGTGCGTCTCTGATGAAACTGCTCAACGCTTTCGTCACCGATTGCGAGGATCTCAGTGAGACGAGGGACAATGGTGATGAGCTTGCCCGACGCGATTGGTTGGCCTTTTGTGTACTCTCCGCATTGCCCTTCGTGGGCAAGGAGCTGGATCAGAGGTCAGGCTTCTCGCGGCTCATGCTCACGCTTCAAATCCATGTGAAGAAGAGAATTCCCCTGAATTTGCCCCTACTAAGTGTGTGGCGGGATGGCACCTTACCACCGCAGATCGATCAGCTGGAAGCGCTATGGAATCAGGTGAAGACCATGGAGGAGCTTCAGTGGCCCGAGCCAGAGCACCAGCTCTTGCCGCGCCCGTACCTGGCATTTGATGAAAAGCTGAGTGCCGCTCTTCAGCACTCCTTGCCCAAATTTGAAATGCCACCCCACCAGCGGGGCTGGAGCTATCCCCAAACGGAGGTGATCTTCCGCATCTTTGAATTCCGCGTGACATCGCACGATGAGCTTAAGCTGCCTTCAACGCTTAGCATTGAGCGATACCTACTGGAGGGTCAGATCCTGTACGTGCTTCAGTCCCATCACCTGGACAGGAAGAAGTGCGCCAAGCATCTTCTGAACATTGCCGCCTCCAAGCCGGAACTAGCTGTGTGCCACAGCATCGTTGAGGTGATCTTGGGCGAAATGCTGCGCCTGCCTAATGCCGCCTGGTCCGCCATCAATTACGGATCCATTCTGATCGAGCTGTGCCGTCTCCAGCCGTTCAAGATGCCTCCCATTGTGGTGCAGGCCTCGAATATCATATATTCCAAACTAGATTCAATGAACGTGGCCTGCTTTGATCGCTTGGTTAACTGGCTATCGCTTCATCTCTCCAACTTTGGATTTCAATGGCACTGGGCCCAGTGGGCAAAGGATTGCCTAGGCTATAGCTATTATCAGCCAAAGGCAATCTTTCTCAGGGAGCTAGTGGCCAAATGTATCAGGTAAGAGTTCTTTAACCTTTCATTGATTTTGATTAAATGTACGTTCTGCTTTTTTATGATACACAGACTATCGTACTATCGAAAAATATCTACACTGCTGCCACAAAGTCTGGGTAGCTTCCTTCCGCCCCAGCCTCATCCCCACTTCAAGTACATCGATCCCCAAATTCCGGGTGCGAAGTTGTCTGAGCAACTCCTGGAAGCAATGCGTGACAAGCAATCTGAGGTTGACAGAATCTCGGCAATGCTAAAGGGTGCTTCTGGCATTACAGATTTGTGCAAGATCAATGTGTTTACCCAAAACTGTATGCATATGAGCTCCAAATCATTCTCCCATACCTCCGCCACGATAGCCAAGTATCTACAGATGTTCAAGGTGAGTTCCCTTACATAATTCTACTAATCCTTAATCCTTGTTTCCCATTTCCTTGCCAGGACTTGGCTAAAGGCGAGGATGAGCAGCTTACAATTCTGGAGGGAATTTTCGAAGTATGGTTTAATAACCAACAATTCATGATCATGGTAATTCAGAAAATGATCCGAATGGAGGTACTCATGCCCAAGTATGTGGTGTCCTGGCTCTTTGGACCGGCAATGCGCAGGGAGCTCACCAAGATGTACATTTGGGAGATACTCCATGCCACGGTGCGTTTTGTCCAAAATCCTCAAAGATTGGGTCCAAAGAAACGCCACGCGGTAAGGGAAGAGCCTCAAGATTTGACTGTGACCGATTCGGCCATCCGAAGCATTCTTCTGGATATCATGCAACGTATCATAAAGATCCTTTGTAGCGAAACCGAAAGTCCAGTCGGATCCGATGAATATTATCGCTTCCAGTGGATCCTTGGCAGAATGCAGGAGCTTCTATTTACATACGTAGATGAATATCAAAAGCTTGGCAGTAAACTTGCTAAAATCTCCGCCGATTCCGATCTTCACAAATCTATTGCCAAGACCTTTCAGGCCTTTTTAGTTTACGTGATGTGATGTGATATTTAAATATATTCACTTTTATATGAAACATATTTCCCCGGATTTCTCTCTGTGCACACATTCTCTTTTTTTTCGGGTGCTAAAAGTTTGCTGCGCCACTCAAATCAACATAAACTTTGATATATTGTGTGCGGCAATAGGCGCAGTGTCCTGCCAGGCATGTCCTGCGTTGATTTAATGGCCGCCACCCCTGAGGGTCAGAGGCAGTGGCTGTGCGGAATCCTGGGCCGCGAGAAGGGTCGCAGTAGCAGCCAAACTACTTATTACGAACGCCGCTTGTCGCCATTGTTGTCAATTTGGTGCTGTCTTTGACAGCAGGGTCCCGGTACTGGGATGCTGCTGTGGTGGTGGCCGGGCATTCAAATTGTAGTCGCATCATCATCTTTATGGCTATTGTGATTTCGGAATTAATTGCCGCCACACATACACAGAGAGAGAGAGAGAGAGAGAGAGAGAGCGATTTGGTGTCGCCACACTGCAGTAGAAGTGCTTAAAGGATTTGGGTGTCTTGTTCCGAGTTAAGTTCGGGGTCCAGGATCCCTGGATCCCGGATCACTGCCCTCCTGGAGCAACAGTTTCCTGGGGGGTTCCCTTTTTCTGGTTACTTGATTGCCCTCAAAAGTATGCAATGCTAATAAATTCAGTTTTATGTGGCCGGCGCTCAATTTTCGCTGCCGCTTTTATGACAGATCATTAAAAAATGTTTTTTCTTTCTGGGGTCGGGTCTTATTTTAAGTAGCCTGTTTGTCTTGTCTTTATGGCGCTTGATTCGGCAACTCCTCCCCATGGAGCCCCACGTTGGAGTCAAAGGGTGCATTAATATTGAACTTTATTGTCTTTTGGCGGGTCAGTTTCGGGCTCCGGTTGCCAGTTGAGTTTAACTGGCCTCAGCAGAAATGTGTTAATGGCGGTCGCGGGCAAGTGTTTACTGGGCCTAAGTCCGGAAACGGATACGGGGGATATGGGGATAAATATTGAAAGCGCGCCCGGCTAATTACGGGGGTCATAATAAATGGGCTAAGAAGGCAACTGGCTGGCCATGAATTCGTAATGCTGGACCGGCTCCAGCAGCATATCCAATTATGGCTATGAAAATGCGCAGCCAGCTCCAAATCCCATTTCCCAAAGACGCAATCCCCAGCAGAGAACAGAGAACTCACATCGTAATATACAACAAAAAAAAACATGGAAAAAACAGACTTCAATCGAGTTACTCCACTTACTGCCTCATATGGTCTCTGACCTCACATTACGTATACGCCCCAGCTGTTTTTCAGAGCAGACAATTGCCATGGTGGTAATGGTGGGGATGTTGGTGGTGCACCAGCTTCCGCCGAAAAAAGGGCAAATCCTTTGGCAAACATTACGTATACGCAATACTTGTAATAAATGCTGTGGCATGCTTTGCAGGAACATTGTCATCGGCGACACTTTATTATTGAATATGTCATCCGCCCGAAAACCCCTCTCCCCAGCCGAGGACCCAATCCCATTTGCATAATTGATCGGCAGCGAAGCGCGAATGGCAAATGAGAATTGTAATCGCCAGTCAGACCTCCATTTCCATCTGGAGTTAGCTGCTCTAGTCGGCGGCTGGGAAAACATGCCAACTTCGTACCCGGCACGCACTGGGAAACGCCTCCCATTTTTCGGGGAGGAGGAAGTGGATGAGAGGTCCTGTCTGTTTTTTTTTGTGGCATCAAATATTGATGCACAGCATCGTTGACGGCGCCGCTGACTACGAGAGCTCCATAATTGATGCATGTGTGATTTATGTGCGTCCTCGCCACCGCGTTCAATTGTGCAAATCAATTTCAATAATCGACAACCAGTTGGCGGCAATGATCGAAATGAAATAATAGATACTATACGATACGATACGATACATGTGTGCCCCGGGGAGGGAGTGGCCCACGACGGTCCCCGGAGAGCTCTTCAGCCTAAATTTGCGGTTCCATAAAACGGTCTTGATGCGGAAATTTATGACAGTGGAAGCGCCAAGGAAGGACACAATTTAGAATGTATTGTGGTGTTTCTAGGGGGGAAAAAAGACTCATTTGTCATACAATATCCTATTCTTGACATGTTTTCCGATACTTATTGATTTTTTTCTTTATTTGCTGAGGCAACTGAATTAGAAGTTATTAATATATAATAACAAGGACATATACTTAACATGAAACAAAATATTTCCCTTTTACTTTTCAATCAAAGAATTGTTTCTAATCAACAAGAGTCAACAGTGCGTTTTGCCAACATTTTGGGTAACTTTGGGGACCACTCTCTCTGGCCACCGGCAATCAGTCAGCCTCAAATTGTTTCTAATTAAGACTCCTCTTCGATGGCTAGAGTGTCCTGGCCAAAACCCCTTGTTGCTCTTCCATCTCCCTGCCATATGCCAAGCATTGTCCGGCCGTGCACTCAAGTGCTGTTCCATGGCAACGTTTTGGCCAAACTTTGGAATCCTCTGTCCATGGGCACACAACACACCAGGTCCCCAGGCCTGTTTACAAGCTCAGTTTGCTGCACAAGAGGCACAGATGTTTTAAGGGGGGTTTATCTCACATGCAGCCAGAGGAATTTAATTATAACTTCTGTAACTAATTTCCGTTTTTGGCTAACGGATGTACGGGAAATATGCAAAGTGTCTGGCTCCAAAAATGTTGCACAAATTAATATTTAATGCAACCGAAATTGGCCAGACAGCTGTTTATTGAATATAACGTATACGTCCACGATTTCTATACCTTCGGTTAGAGCTCCTAAGTGCAAAAGTTTTGGCCACGCTGTCACAGAAATTAACACGTAGCCGGCATAAGCATCAGCATCATCATCAGCATCATCATCATCGCCTCATAATCATCGGGGCTCATTTACGTGACTCGCAGTGTCCATTAGACTAACAGCAACAGCAACAACGACGGCACACCAAGGACGCGGACAAGTCAACCCAAAGGATTACAGCATCCCAGGGAGTTATTAGACCTATCAGCATTAGCAGGGACAACCAGAGCAGAGTTTAGGTAGCATCAGCAGCAGCAAGAAAAATAAGGAAAATGGGGGGAAAAAAAAAACAACCATGAATGAAACTTTTTCTGCCGCAACTTTGGCCTTGGCTTAACCCCACAGCCACACAGCTTAACCCCACTTTTGCACAAGGGATCTGCTTCGCTCTCAGGCTAATTTAAAGTTTGTTTTATTTAAAATAAAATAAAATATTAAACAAGCATAAACGAAAAGGGACAGTTCAGCAGAACAAACAAAAAAAGAAAAGGGAGGGCGTCAGCATCAGGCCGAGCAATTTTCATTTGCACTTTTGATAAATTAATTAAATGCAAAAAGGAGAAAAAGGATCAAAACGAGAAGGAGAATCTTTAAAATAATTAATTAAATAAACGGACGCAGATAGCAAGGAATCAAACCAAAAGAGAGGGACAGAGAGCATGAAAACCGAAAACAAAACCAAACTGAATGCCAAATGATGAATGCGCGTCAAAGCAGCCAAAGCAAATGAATGAAGCTGGATGCGATACGGTGCGGGGAAAAAGAAAAAGAGGAAAAGCCGAAATTATGGCAACCAACTGACACAGAAATCCATTTTTCATTTTCAGTCACACAGCTCCCCCCTTTAGACGCCACGCACCCCTTTAACACTGGCTCTGGTCCATGGTCCTTTGCCTACTTATTTATGAGCTTGTATGTTGTAGTTGGTCAAATACACCAAATAGCAAAAGAGGGAAAAAAGAAAGCAGGCTTTTCCTCACACACACACACACACACACACCCATCCTGAGAGACAGACAACAAAAAAGGGGTAGAGATTACAAACGAAAAATAAATAAAAATAAAAAGCAACAGCAGTAACATGCTGCTTACTGATTCTCCTTACTGATTGTTGCTGCCTTTGCTACTGGCGTGCCGAAAAAAAAAAAACAAAAATAATAATAATAAAAAAGAAAAAAAACATCTCGGAAAATCGAAAAACAAACCGAAACAATGCCCCCAAAAAAGAACTGATGAACGAACTTTGGATTCCCTTGAGCCTGAGAAGTAATTCCTTCCATTTGTATAAAAATACTTGGCATAACTTTTGGGTCTGGGCATTCAAAAACTTTTTCACATTTAAGGTTAGCATTCAATCTTGTTTAATTGTTAAGGAATTCCAAGTTCATTCATAGATAAATATATATATATATATAATATAGAGGAGTTGAAATCTCTTTTTTATTTACCATTCTAACCTTTGCATAATCAACCCCATTTGTTCTGGTTCCTGTTCCTGTGTATGCCACAACCTTTACTTCGTTCTATGGAAATCAACAAATATTTGCATTTCAGGTGTATTTGCAAGATATTTTAAAGAAAACACAGTTTGAAACGTACGCTATACTTTTGTTATTTCAATAGAAATAATGTTAAATTTATATACATTTCATTTTCAGTTATAAACTCTCATTTAAAAGGATTCAAATTATTAAGCAGGCAGATAAATATGTATAATACAACTTAAATATATTGTTTTTATCATTGTTCTTACTATTGTTTCCATGAGTACTAAGAATTTAGGTTTAGAAAAAGTGAATAAACATAAATATTTGACTTTAGATTAATTTCTAAACTTCTTTTTAACTACCCTAAGGATTTCATTAATCCTATTGACCTGCCTTGTGATGTGTAAACTTTCTCCCTTTTCCTTAGCTGGCAAAACTGCTATTCAAACTACGTGAACCCTTCCGACAGCTAGGGCATCCTTCCACATCCCGAACCGTCTCAGTCAAAGACCTTTCCCTGTTTTTTATCCACCTTTTTTCCGTTGTTTTGTTTGGAAAAGCGCCTTTTCTTTCACATCGGGCCTCTCGTCTTCGCTTTGGCATTGTCTGTTAAATTACGTATACGCCTCGGAGCGCACAACTTTCAACCGAACCGTCTGCTAGTGCATTTGGGTGTGTGTATTTCTGTGTGTGTGTGTCTATGGCATGCAAACAAAAGCCGCTGTCTGTCAGAGTCGAACTTGAAAACTTTCTTGCGTCGACATTTTTTTATTTCGGTTTAGGGCGCAAAATACAAGAATAAACCAAAGAGAAAAAAAAATGAGTTGTAAATGTCAAAAGCGTTTGGAGGATGCCATAGACAATTTTCAAATGCTGGCAATCTGCAAAGCAATTTGAAGAGAAATGAAAATATGCGCAATAATTTACACCCTAGGCAATCTTTTTCACGCCATACCCATGTCCCTTACTATATGCGATTCCTACCCGGTACTAAAGGATCGGAAGGGTATAACATGCTACCGGAATTATTTTGTTACCATTTAGCAGTAGATCTTAAATAATCATGGAAATATATGTTTGGGAAATATTTATGAAAACCATACATTAATAAATCTACAATCATTTCAAAAAGAAATTAGTAATAAGGCTTTCGAATATCTTTCTTTTGTTGACTCATTAAATTCCTAAAATGCTTTTCCTATTTTAGTTTTGATTTCCTTTTGGTTATTATTCTCGGAAAAAGAAATATATATGCCCTAAAAATGTATTTTATGCATCACATTAAAAAGACTTATTATTTATTTGACCCAAAATTGTACATGAATAGCTATAGGTTGGTTTAAAATACATGTCCAAGCAGTCATCCCATAAATCATTTAGAATTTTAATTGAGCTTTTGAAAAATAGAAACTGTATCTGTTTTGTTTTTATTTACCATATCCATTAACAATTAAGAAATCGCTGAATATATATATAATCTTGGTTTTGACTTGAGCAAACTGAAAAAATAAGTCAATAATTGAAACAGAAAAACATGAATTAAATGAAATTTTAATCGATAAATTAATACATATATTAACAGATAAATTAATAGTTAAAATGACCTGATTGGAGTCTTTATCAGACCAGAAATTCATGTATCCATAACGATAAATTAACAAAGTTTCAATCTGACTTAAAAGACCCAAATTCTCAGCATTGAACTGCTATCATTTGTCCAGAATTTCAATGTTTCACTTTCAGCATCACACTAACCCTGAAACCTTTAATGCCAAACTATGATTCTGATTCCCAAAAAAATGCAATTATATTCGTAGGTACTAGGAATCCAGCAAGGTTAATATAATTGAGGGGTATCATCGAGTCCGAAAAATAAAGGCCATTACAGTATTGGGAACTAACTCGCTTTGCCGCTCTCCCGGCTGCTTCCTTCTCGTGGCATGACAACTCTTCAGAGGCCGAATGACGATTGTGATGGCCAACCATGTGTGTGTGTGTGTTTTTTTGGCTGTAAGCAGCTGTCAGTGATTTCTGACAAATTGATTTGACAGTCGACAGGAGACAGACGACCGGAGAGGGGGAAGGGGGGCAGAGCAGAGCGGAGCGGAATGCGGCCAAACTTTCGGCCATATCAGGCGGCAAGTCTTGGGCGCGTGTGCTAAAAAAAAGGAAAAAAAATAAAGCAAAGATGAAAGCCGTTGCCGTTGCTACCACTTTTGTTGCCATGTCTATGCGTGCGGGATTCACAGGAATGGGGAGGCTGAAGGATGTAGCAGGAGCCAGGACCCTGTGAGAGAGAGAGAGAGGAGAGGAGAGGCTGGGCGGCTCTCCTAGACGAAAGAGAAAGCAGCCAAGTAAATGGCAAAGCCAAAGAGTTGTTGGCCCAAAAGAGCGAAGCGTGGTGAATTTTTTATGTTGACTGAGCTGGGTCTGTGTGTATATGGATTTGTTATTGTCCTTTTTACCCTATAGGCCAAGAGGGGTATGCCGTCGAACTAGATTACAAAAAACAAGAGCTTATTCTGATTAAAGAATTTTGGGTAGAGTATTCAAGATAAGGTAGGAATATTCTAGCTGTAGTTCTAATAGTGAAATATATTCATTTTAAATATGTATACTACTTTTTCAAAATGATATTTGCTTAAGTTTCAGGTGTAAATGCAGATTCACTGATTAAGCAAGTAATATCTACATACAGCTTTAAATAAACAATATAGATGATAGATTAAAATGTAAACCAAAACTCATAGTATTAAATGCGTTTATTTTACATTTCTTTTATAGATAAACCTGATTTTATAATATTAGAAAACTAATTAGATTTCAAACATAATAATACAAAATATTAAGTAACAGTTCTTATTATATATTTATAATTTGGCTTGTAATTTGTATTTATTTTTGAAACTCTTGTAAAGATCTTGTAGTTCACACTTAATTAAAATAAGCCAAGAGTTAATACCCCTAATGCACTCCATATCAATTTCAAACGCTTTGGCCAATTCTTCTTTTAGATTGCTATACAAAAGAAAATGTTTAAAGTTTCGTTTGGCTTTAAAGGACTTTCCAGGAAGCGCCCTGTTCCCTGTTTACTTTGCCAGTTTTTCCCAGTTAGTTACCTGCTGCGCTGGGTTCCAGCTCCAGCTCCGGCTATAGCTATAGCTTCAGTCAGTAACTTTAGCTGCTGCTTGATTGACGTTCCAACTGATTGACTAGACTAGTGACTGACGGACTGGACTGAAATCGGAGGGGGGTTGGGGAATCCCTGCAGCATAACAAATGGTTGAGATGGGCGCTCTGTCGGGCTCCCTCCCGCCCGAGTGGGAGGTAGGGGACTTTAAACAGGCATGGGAAAATGCCATTAGATGAGCAGCTGCCAACGTCAGTGAACGGCGTCTCTCACTTGACAGTTTTATTTATAAACTGTGCAAATAAAACTGTAAATCACTAGGGACAACACACCAAGGAAAGTGGAAATGGAAAAGTGACCTACATAGATGGTTCCGAGCTACGCCAAAAAAAATAGAATAAAAACAGAAATAAACGCAGGCAGGACGACAGTGGGGAAGAGCGACGGAAAACGGGCAATGCCGCCACAAATCAAACAATTAATTTTACTGTCTGAAATTCCAGCACTAAATCAACAGCCAAACAATTGAACCATTTAACTATGTAAATAAAATTAATGCTCCCTGAAAGTGGAGGCAACTTGAATGGCAATGGGCAATGGATTTTCCAGGATAGCGGACAGTGTCTACCTTATGCCGCTAGCAAAAGGAAAATATCCATTAAAAAGCAATCAATATATGGAAAATAAATGCCAGTCACTTTTCCTTTTCGGTTGTTCCACCATTCGTTCTCATCTCATCTCATCGCATTTCATTTCATCTTGTTAAGAGCCTCTGCCAGCCGCATAATCTGAATTTAATTTACCCCCGCAAAGTACACACACACACAGAACACAGAACACAACAAAACACAACAGAAGAAAAAAAAACGCAGGCAGCAAACAAAAATTGAAAAATGTCAAAAACGAAAATGAACTTTCCAGGGGGTTTTTCAGTTCAGTTTTCATCTCGCTGTTGCTGTTGCTTTTGGTGGGCAAATGAATGGCCATTAAGTAGCACACCCATAGAAAGGACCCAGCAAGGACCCCCAAGAACCTCAAGCTCAAGGTGAGTTTGCCAGAAAGAGACGGGAGCATCCGCGAGGGAGAGAGAGCAAAAGCAGCCGAAAATATTCCACAGTGAGTTGCCATTTTTGCTGCTCCAACATAATTTGTATGCCCCAGACCCCCAGACCCCCAGCCCCCGCCTCAGCCCCCAGCAGCTCAGCCTCCATTTATCCTCTCCTCCCCTTTGCACCGCTCCTTTTTTGACCTGATTCTGGTGACGTCATTCGGCCAGGCCACACTGCGAATACGTAATGTGCGAATCGGGGCTGCATTAGACTTACGTGGGGGAGGGAGAAAAGGAAGCTGGCCAAGCGAACCGAGTGGATAACTTGATTAAATAGGAAGTTGGCCCAGCGAAATACGCCATTTGTTCGAGTACAATGGAGTAGGACAAAAGGTATGGCCATCAGAGGATCCAACTTCAATTAATTGAAACAGAGCTATAGCTTTTACCTTTACTTCAAAATTAAACTTTATATTCAAATCAGGTAAAGATAAATGTTTAATGGAAGCTGTTATAGAAGTTCATAGAGCCAGCTTGCTCTCTCTATTTGATTTGACTTGCTTTTGACCAGCCACAAATCCGATATCTTCAATTTTTCAGCTGCAACTTCTCGTGGTGGCACAGAGAGAAAACGTGGCATAGAATATTGCCAGGCAAACATGCAACTTTCAAGGCAAGGCGAGGAGAACTGACAGCTGGCACCAACTTATAACTCAAAGTGCTGTGGATCCGGGAGGCGGCCCTGAGGCACGCCCACTCCTCCCCTCGAATAGAGTAGGAATAAAAACACACACACACACACACGGGCTGGGATGCTGTGCTGCTGGGATGTTGGTGTCGGTGAAAAGATACAAAACTTGCAAAAATAAAAGAGAGAAAGGAAAAGTTTCAGTTACGTGCTGTTGCTTTTAATTGAATTTTTTTTTTTCTTACCCACTGTAGCTTCGTACTAACTGGCCAATGGTCCAATGGCCTGACCAAGCACATCCGCCCCGCCATTTCCGCCAAAGCCTCCCCTGGATTCCACCCCCACTACTGGGGAGGGTTAGAGCTCCTTTTTCCATCCCCCCTTCCCTCCAGTTGGAGAACTAACAAACACGAGCAGACTCCTGCTGGAGGGCAGTTTCCTTGTTATTTCCAACGCGCTGCCAAGTCGCAAGTCCTTAAGCGGTTTATTTTGCTTCACACTTATTTTGCAGGGGAACGAACGGAGGTGTCTCTAGGATGGGTCCTTTCCCTTTTCCCACTCTCTACACTTTAAATTAAAAATAAGGATTATTGCAATCTAAATTCAAATTATGCGATTCATTTTCCAAAAGGGAAAAGTGAAAGTTATCCGTAGAAATCGAAAAAGTAATGCTATGAATGGGAGTTCATTAAAAAATGGAAAAGCTTTCTTTAAGTAGAATTCTAGGTAATATACAATAATCTTTTAATATAGAAAATAACACTTTAAAGGAGTACAATTTTTATATTTTAATTTAATTGGTTTGCACCTGCTTTACATACTATATTCATAAGGAATTAATATCACAATTTTAAAGGAAATCAGACACAGCTAAAAATTCCTTAACAAAGTTATCAAGTTTTCTTTTTAAATAAACTTTTTGCAGTGCAGTTTCCCTCGATTTTCTGCTGCCGGTTTTTATGCAGCAAGTTTTTAATTAAGAAGTTTCCATTTAACATTGCCCATAGACTGCACTTGGCTCTCCAAAAGCGCATTATCATAATAATTTACTTACTCACTTAGCGGGTATTATGCGGAGCGGAGGAGGCCTTTTCAGGTTTCTCCACCCGGCTCCTCCCATTTCCCACAGCTCTCAGGGGGCAGTGAGTTACCTTTCAAGCTCACCTTTCTAAAGATACCCATTGTAAATTAATGATAATCCATAGAGCAACTACCCTGGAACAATGGCAAGTCAAGTGCCATGTTTGGTGTTCTTGTGCTTGATCGCCCTCGTACTTCTGGGATTTGGAGCCTACTACACCTACATGTATAGAAAGGAGAACTGTGAGAGTACAAAAACTATGCTTATTTTTCAATTCTGATCCCAATCTCTTTGCAGATCTGACAAGCTGCTTCCACGTGGGCGGTAAATGTTTGGAGGTGGAAAACTGTGAACATGACCATCATTATCGGCGGAATATTACCACATGTATCCACAAGCGGAAGGTGTGCTGCATGCAGGATCCACAGCCCACAGATAATACTGAGGATTATCGTGAATTGATATCACCGTTGGACATTTAATTGATATCTTTTGGTATAATCCAAAGAAAATCAATGTACTGGTGGGGAATTTCTTAAAAATGTACTATCTGTTTTAAATTCAAGTTTTTCAGTGAATTAAAAGGCTACATTTCTGCTTATTTAATTTGGTTTTAATTGTCTGATTATCCATGAATTCTCTTCATTGGATTTCCGTTCATTTCCCCTGCAGGCTAATCAAAATTATTACATTTCTCTCCTAGCTCTCAACATTTTTGCTGTCAGTGCTTTTCACAACTCCTCCACACGGAACGCACTCTATCCAATTATCCAGACTATCAATTCCACTAGTCCATCAATTGAATCGTTATGCCTGCGATAAGTTTAACATTCCGTCTGGCCAGCATCCTTTTATCCCCCAAACCAGGCAGGATTCAACCCCTCTCTGCCCAAGCGCCGGAAGGCCCTGGGCTAATTTAGCGAGTTTGCTTTACCATTTTCCCCACCAATAACACTCGCAACTCATTTGTCTGGGCCTGGGACTGCTTAGCCCAATCCATTCCCACCGGAGAGGATGGGCACTCCTCGACGAGCAACACTTGGCATTGTCCCACACACACACTGAATACACCCCGCTGACAATCCATCCCTTTGCTGCCATTCGCCAGCCTCTAATGAAGCGCAAATGTTGATGTAAAAATTTAATTTAGTTCGTAACCCACACGCATATCCTGGCGACTCACATGGCTGGGGAGAAATAGCTGGGCGAATGGAATGTCCAAATGTTTATGCATCGTGTGGTGGAACGCGTGTTTACCTTCTAATGTGTGCGTGACATGGACCCATGGGTTACACACTCACCCAGCCCAGGCAGCATGCATTGGTTATATTACGTATACGCAGCGTTGTCCTTCGGTGCCACCGATGTGGTAGCACACAAACAAAAATACTAATAAATGATGCCACCACGTACATGTATTAAAAACAAAGCGCAGCACAGAAAACGCTGACAGGCCCTTTGCCTTGGACCGCTCCAGCAATAGCTCCATCTCCTGCTCCATGAGATGCTCCTCCCTGTCCTCGTCCTTTGACGATTCCCATGGAATCCATGGATTCTGGGATGCCGCGAACCGGCAACTGAAACCCCTTCTCTCAAAGCTAACAAACTGGGAACGAAGCAGGATAGAGGCAGCGACCGGAAGGACTAAAGAACAGTGGAGGGGAACTAGAAAAGGGTTCGAGTGGGGGCCGCTGTCACCCAGACATTCAATGTCCTTCGCTGGCTGCCACCAATGTTTACGAGAACAGTGTGCCCTCAGGATGGCGAGAAATAAACTTTTTTTATGCCAGAAAACTAATAACTAATAGGAAAGCCTTATCTAGTGAAAACAAGTTAAATTAAGTGATAATAAAAAGAACAATAATATTATTAAATAAGTTCTTAAAGTCTGGAATTGGTATAACTTTTGGTCATACCTACAAACACTGTCCAATGCAGGCAGACAAAACTAACAAACGACAACGGCCGGGTCCTGGCAAAGGACATGGTCCCTGGCACATGGATGGGGTGAAAGTTTAGCACCCGCCTCTTCGCTACCAAAGCACCTGCTCTGAGGTCCTTCTCCCCTGTTTATGGCTTTGTTTGCACTTTTGTTTATGGGTGTACATTTTAAACGCTATGAGCACCTGCTTCGCTCCACCATATGTGTGTCATGGCTGTGGGTGTATGTGTATTTGTGTGTGTGAGTTGTGCGACTTGTGTGACCGTTCCGTGACTTGTGTTTTCCCACACTCCCATGACCAGATTTTCCTTCTGCTCCTGTGGAACAACGGCCACAAAAACGAAGCTCCCCAGCTCCAGTGTCAGCTGACAGATGCAGTGATTTTAAGCGTCCATCAAGAGCTTCTCTTTGACATTTAATTGTTGCACATTGTTGTCGCTGGTGTCTGCCACCGTCGCACACTTTCGCATCAGCGGAGAATCACCGGAGAATCATCGGTGGAGTGCCATGTGGCCATGTGCCTTGGTCATTGTTCCGTGGATTCAAGGTGAGTTTGGGAAGCAAATTTAACACGGCCCGGCCATAAAAGACCAAAGTCATGTGCTTTATTACACATTCAACGGCAATGCGGCAAAGATTATATTTTCGAAATACATCCGTAGAAATTCAGGTGTTTCGGTCATTGTTGTTAGAGGTGGGAATCAGAGCGTGACTCGGTTGGATCCCTGAGTTTGCTGTTTGAGCTGGCAGCAGCTTTAATTTGCTTTCCAGTGGGTTTTTTTGTGTGTGCACGACACCCAAAGGATGAGCTGGATGAACAAAAAGAAAAATTTGTTCCACTCAAGAGCAGGGAATGATAAATTAAACAACATTTCAGATCTTCAATTCAGATTTAGCTTGAAAGTATAGTTGCAAACTATAGTTGCAGAAAAACCTTGGAATCATTATATAAAATGGGGAAATCTTAGGTACATTTTCGAATTAATATAACAATATAAGAATTTATATAGATTTAAGTTTAATTTATTAAGTTGAGAACTGATTTTGAAGCCTCTACCTTTTAATTTTTATAAAACTTATAATAAAAATGCGTGGAATTTTAATTTCGTAATGTTACTTTAATTTATTATTATAAAACACTTAAATGCGATATATTTCTTCTAGTGAACCACAAGGTAGTTTATCCACTCAAATGTAAGTGGGATACATTCTCTATTTTTTCTATATAAAATATGAAAGTTTTTCTATTAAAGTTTAACAAGTTCAGGTGAGTGGCAGTCCTGTGTCCCTTTTGACAAGTTGTCCATCCTTTTGGCACAGACACATGGCCACTTTAGCCTTGGTGGAAAAACTTGCAGAACTTTACACGTGTTGGCAAACGTTTTGTGGCTTTAGTTTTTTAATTTTTTTTCCCCCTCTTTCCTTTTCGGGTTGGCTTTTGCCTAATTTCCAACTGTCACCCGGAGATGGCTTTTGGCCCCCGGACCCTACACACACACACACACACACACACACACACACACACACTCACACAGCCATAGATGGTCACATGCGGCCATTTTCTAATGGCCTTTTCGTGGTCAAGCATTTAAGCGTTGCGGGCCCGAGCCCCCAAAAACTCGTTTAGCCCTCACCTTTGACTCTGTGTCACTTTGGTTTACTTTTGTGCAACCGCAAAAATCGTTGTTGCTGTAGGAGAATCCACACATACATTTACACCAACCCATACATCCATAGTTATCCCTGCACACAGATACACACCTTTTGCTGACCATTTCGCACACGATGTTGCGGTCGTGTTGACATTTTAAATGCCTTTTCATTTGTCTCCCGCCACAACCCCTCGATGCCAGGCGCTAATTTCAGTTCATTTGCACTTTAAATGCCACAAATGTCGACTTGACTTTGCATTAAATTGAAAACTATGAACAAATCTTGTAGCAATTGGATATAAAAAGGATTTTTCTAAGAAAAAGTTGGCTTTAAAGAGCACATAGAAAAGCAAACCCACATTACACATAGAAAATTTAAAATTATACATAATGTAGAAATAAAATAAAACAACTAACTAAGAATTAAGTTGTAAGCCATGTTAAAAGCAATTAAAAAAGGAGATGAAGGTTTAAAATCTTTCTTATATCTCCATAGTAACATTTAAGCTTAAAAGCAATTAAAATTTAACTAACCAAAGAAGATGAATTATTCCAAGTTTTCAGGATTAAAATCTTTCTTATATTTCCATGGTAACATTTCAGTTTTTTATTTTTTAATCTCATATGTGAAGTTAATCCTCCAGACACTAACTTATCCTCTCTTTCTGACTTTCTCGCTATCTCTTTCTACTCCCACTCTCACTGTCTCTGTTTTTCCATCTGCTAAAGCTTGCCGCAGCCGGTAGAAAAGTTTTGCTGCAAATACAAAATATTTTCCATATTAGTTTGGAATTTTCTCCACCATACCCGCCCCCAGCGAGCCCTGGTTTTTCTGGTTTTTAGTGGCGGCATTAATTAAATTTTCATTTTCATTCTCGTTTTCCTAAAGTATATTTCCATTTGTGCCATGGGAGGAAGGCAAGGAGTTTTCCTAGTTTCCACTGGCTTGCGCTTGGGGACACTTTCGAATTGAATTTCCAGCAGAGGCTTTTTGGGAGGGCGGAGGGGCGGACCAGCTTTTGTTGCTGGGGCAATTAAAAGCGAATTTTCCGCACGCAGGACTCACAAAGCGTTTTGAATGTAATTAAAAAATATCACGTATACGACGCATGTGCCCCAAGGGGCCGATTTGCAAGGCCTATTTATGGCCGACCAGCATGGCTATATATTTTTTATCCTCCCCAAGTAAAGGCAAGTGAAATGGCTGATTGCCCAAGAAGCACGCACATTTCCCGGTTATTTAATGGTAACTGCCAGCGGGACTCGGGCTGATAATGCCGAATCAATTTCGAACGATTCATTAGTCTTCTCTCCAAACTTTTCCCCATCACTGCACTCACTTTACTCCATTAGCAGCTGTCAAACAATAAAAGCATTATTCATATTTCATTTAATCGATTTAATGTGAGATCTTCTGAAACATTAGCGAAGCTCTCTGAATAAAAGTGTCGACAAATATTAGCACGCTGTCATGCATGGAAAATGGCAAATAATCAAGTAAACTAACAAGAAAGACAGCAAATAAATAAATAAATAAATAAATAGGCAAGAGATACAGGGGCAAGAGCGAAAGATGAAATGTTCCCAGGCAAATATTTGTGAAATTCTAAACTGTAATCAGGCCAAAGTGATGGCGGCAGCACCAAGTGTGCTTAATGACAAAACTTTGCAAATCAGTAAAGCATTTTATTGCCACACACACACACATACATACTCTTATACCCAAGAATCGTGGGTGACACACACACGTATATATTTCTAATATGGAAAACCTCATAATCACATCCTGCACAAATGCACAAAACTGTGGAGAAGCCCAAAACTTTCTCCCAGCACAGCCTAGCCAGCATGGCAAACTCATTTGACTGCATTAGAATTAACATTTCAGTGCGACAGCAGTCACTTCCTGTCTGCTCCTCATCCTTTTCCTCCTCCTTGGCGACACACACACATAAAAGGAGCAAAAACATTGCGCATACGACCCGTGCAACCAAGCAAAAGTTTTGC